GGGACAGGAAGTGAAAGTTCCCCAGTGGCCCCTCTTTACCCTATCCAAGCTAATAGATACACTTTAACACTGAGCCCCAGGCATATATTAAAAACAATAGTACAGTTGGGTATACAGTTAAAACTATCAGTAAAGTACAATACTAGTTTATTATTATTTTTTTTATATATATACTTGGTTCTCCACGTGCTGGAGTGCTGCCCACTTGGTCTTATACTCCCCTTCAGCCTCAACCTGAAAAATAAGCAAGCTTGGACTGGTCATGATAGGTCAATTGTACCACATCCTTATCTAAAGTACAAGAACACCAAGAAATGGGCAAAGGAACTTTTCATGTGATATTTGAATGGATTCACAGAGTTTATCAGAGTTTAATAATACCTTGTTTTACTGCACATACAATAAATGCATAACAATGTATAAAAACAATGTTTGCACTTGTCTGAGTATCATATATAAAGTTACTTTCACATATTGTACTACCCTCACATACCGAATCAGTCAGCTAGTTTCAAATATAGCATAACAGTCTGGTTCTTAAACAAAATGTAACTGCTGAATCATCTGATGGGGTACGGATATGGTTTAACGCGTTTCACTGACACAGTATTCCAAAGTAGAGCACCTGTTTGGTGTCACAGGAAGAGAGAATGTCCTGTCACTTTGCAAAGTTTTCCACTCACTTCTGTTGTGTCCCCAAGGCAGGAAAGTAATGGAAATGTCCCCAATAAGACAAACACATTGAAATAAGTGACATAGGTATTAATCGTTCCTTACTGGATCCAAAACTAAAAAAAACAATTGGCGTTAGGTATTCATTAATATCAGCCTCCTGTAATCCTCTGTACAGGTGCACTTAGAGACTTATTTATGACAGAGAGCAGATATTACCATCTTTTGTTGTTATACACTGCAGGGTTACTCTATACCCTGGCTGTCATTTTGGAGCCCATTCATAAAATGCATGTAGCCAGTGGAGTCCTAATCAGTTCTTTCCGCTTAACGCAGCAAAGAAAACTCCATGACTGGATTAGAACCGATCAATTTACTCCGACAGGTCATGTAATGGCATCTCCTGCTGGCTTTTTTTTCCTCATTCACTTTTACTGTACTCAGTACACATTTGTAAAGCACGCTGCTCTTATTTATAAATGTGTAATAACCTTTTTTTTTTAATGGTGTCTGGGCGGCATAAGGCTGCCTTAGACTAGGAGGGATGACCACAACTAGGACATGATCAGGCTCTGCTGTAGTGTACATGTGCAGGCAAGGAACAAGCTGACAGGAGAGAACAAAGTGTTGCTACTCCTTCAATGTCCAGTCAGAAAACAAAGGATGTGTTCTAAACAAGCGGTCGACAACCTTTCGGACCTCATGGACCACTAAATTCATCATTTTAAATCCTGCGGACCACTAATATGATTTTTTATTTTATTTTAAATATATATATTCTCATAGTCACTGCCCCCAACCACTCCCGTGCCTCCCCTTCCTCCACACTGAGCCACTATTACCTGACTTCTCCCCACTTTTTCTATGTCCTGCAGCCTGATCAGTCCGGGTACTGACGAGATGCCCCGCCTCCTGCAGAGCCCGCACTGTACTGAAAGCCGCGCATTCCTTGTGACAGCCGCTGCTTGAGTCAGTGAGAGGCAGCCCTGCAGCCTCCGTGCCACTTCAATGACAGCCCAACCTGCACGACATCAGAGGGGCCCAGGGACCACCAACATTCTCTCGCGGACCACCGGTTGGCTACCGCTGTTTTAAACCATGCTGCCACAGTGGTGGGTCCTGAACATGGGTGCGTGTCTCTTAGGAGCTGATTAAAAAGGACATAGCTGGGTGAACACTGTTTGCACGGTATTATTAGCACTAGATGAAGCTGAGGAGCATAGGAATTCTTATCTTATCTCATCATTACCAGCCGGCTTAAAGTGGGAAAAGTGAGTTTTAAATCTCTGATATTTATGCAGAATGCTCTCAGCTTCGCTCTGTTCCAGGAGACGGTATAATTCAGCCTGGCCACCCCAGACTGAATTTTGTATTATTAGAACGTCAATCCAGACACTTCCAGACCAGAGCAGACACAAACTTCTAATTGCTGTCCTGCGGCATGTCAACGTGTTTTTTTTTCTCTTGGTGACAAATTTTATGTAAAACACGGAAGAAATGATCTGGTTGCTATGGCTAAAGCAGGCACATTTTTTTCTCCATTCTTTTTATATCAGCCAGAATTTGTTGTATTTATAAAACTGCATATCTTAGATCTGCCAATAGACACATTATGCAGATCTGATTATGTCTAGCTTAGTAATCATGTGTACAATTGGCAAATTACCATCCACTTAATACAACTGCAAGTACATAATACTATAAATGCACTATATACACAAATGTAATGTTTGCTTAAAGGCTAATTCCACCTTCCTGAACATGTGTCATTTTAATCCCATATTTAGAGTTTACATGCTCTGAAAGGTGGAATTAACCTTTGATCTGACAATAAAATTTGTGTATACAGTGCATTTATAGTATTATGTACTTGCAATGCAAGTACACCCATATTTAGGGTACAGCATAAAACATAGTCACATGTCTGCGGGCCCCTGAATTTCCTTCCTTCCTTCTCTTTCCTGAATTGCCAGATTCTTCTCTCCAAAGCATCTGGTATTGTGTTCATTTCTGGGGTGTGGAGCCTTTCCATTAGTTCCTTTCAACACCAAGGGGACTGTATATAAGCAATTTTCAGAGCTACAGGTCCTGCAAATCGCTGTGAATGTTTCTTCTGTGCAAATTGATCTTTATAAGTAGAATGCATTTTCAAATGTCATCTTGTAATACTGCATTATGGCCAGTACATGGAGCGGAAGAGCATAGGAGATTAGTATTTATTTCCTATGCTCCTCCGCTCCATCTAGTGTTCATAATGTGGTATTACAATAAACATTCACATGATTCAAGATTCGTCTAGCCAATGGCTTTGCAAATTTTGGCTTTGCATATTTTTATAAATAGACCCCCAATTGTCTTTGATGGATGTTTCCTCTCACTTTAAAAAGGTTTCCTCTCACTGATAGGACACAAAAAAATTGCCCACTCTAGCCTAAACCCAAATTACTTACAATGCCCTTGAGTTTAAAGCAATCCTGTGTTGAGAGAACTACAGGGGGCTGGCACTGTTCACTTCCTTCTAAAAATGCTAGTTACGTGGCTTCTAGCTGCTGACAACAATCTGTAGATTAGAAAGTCAGAACCCCTGATCTATTTCTTTCAGGTCAGTGACTGAACCCCAGGCATGCATTAGCTCGTATGCTTGTATGCATATGGCATACCTGATCAGCAGCTGGGATCCTGTAAAGCACTATAGTAGCTAGATCTACTACAGTGCTGGCCATGATCTTCAGTCGCAATCAGTGAATACAAGGCGTTCTCTGACTGGACAGATGTGACATCACTGCCTCTCGTCCAATCTGAGAATGCCTTGTATTGATTGATATAAATACTAGGTGTTGACTGAATGGCCGCTGTGCAGAGCAAGTGACCTCTGTGTTTTCAGAGCATAAGACAAGCTGCTCAACACAGCACAGTATCATCATCTGGAAGATCATGGCGACCACTATTGTAGCTCCGGCTACTATAGTGCTTTACAGGATCCCCAATGACCAATCACATATGGCATATGCATGCTTAAATTGGGCCAAGCTGAACCAATGTAAGTATACAAAATTCTGAATACTTGGAGTTATTGAAGCCATTGAATCAGCATGACAGCCAGGCAACTACCATTTTTCAGAAGCAGACTCCATACTCTCAGGGTTCCATTGATTCCAGTCTTTATGCTGTACAAGTAGATGCTGAAAATGTTATTTGCCCCCAATCAGTCAGTCAGCCTTAGAGCTGGAATTGCTGTATTGTGATTTGTGTCCTCCATGAGCATTGAATAAGTGGCAGGACACGCAGAGAATACATAATGTAAAATGGAAGTGCAGACTTAGCTAGACCTTTTCTTTCCATCCATCTCTGTGTCACATTCATAAACATGAGCTACATGTCTTACAAACTAGTCCACATTCACTAAGAACTATTTGCATATTGCATAACATGTAGAGCTCAGGAGACATTAAAATCAGTTTTCTGTCACCCAGCCACTTCAGAGCATTAGAGTATTAAAGTGACATTAAAGTCAAAAAAATGTTTCCCTACCCCCCATGTTAATGTTAGCACTTACCTTAAATTATGTCTCTTATATCTTCTTCTTCTTTCCTGATGTTTTCATCTGTCCCTCCAGCGGTGCTGGGGGCTCTCCGGTCCAGCGCTGACTGCTCTGTCCCTCCGATCCAACGGTGTCTGCATGCGGGTGCAGGCGTCCATACACTTACCTTGCGTCTCTGCACGTCTCCCGTCTGAGAATCCGAACTGCGCATGCGTCCGTCCCAAGATGCTTTGCGGCCGCCCGAACAGTTTCGTTTTCTCGGGCGGGAGCGCGCAAAGAAAAAAAGGTAAGTTTAAACCGCTGTTTTAGCGGGGTTTTTTTAACTGTTTGCCTTTATCTACTGCTTGATAGCAGTAGATATAGGCAAAAAAACGGGAGGGTTTTGAACCCTTTTAACATTGGAATTAAATGTCTGCAGATGATACTGTTGTAAATAATATGCAGTCTCCAGTGAGGATGGGCCTGTATGGCAGTTATATGTTATGATAATTGTACTGACTTCTACAGAATGGGTGACACTTCACTTCTGTCCCAGGCAGATCCTTTGAGCGACTGGCTAGAATATTTGAGGCAGTCCTATTCATTTCAGGCAAGGTGCCAGCTATGTCATTACTGATTTATCATCTTGTTTAACATCTCTTAGTACAATATGGGGAATGGTGAAGTTGTGACATACCGAACCTGCCTGAGCCAAGGAAGTCTATGCCACGCTATTATACTCCAGTGTTTAAATAGCATGAAAAATAGGAGTGGAATTAACCTCTTCCTTTCTAATTTGTCTTCACAGTTTCTGCAGAGCAAATCGAACATCTTCACAAGCGCTTCAGCTATCTTTGTGGGGACAATGCCGTTCTCAGGTAGTATATCATTTATTTATTTATGTACACAAAACACCAATGTGTCTTAATCAGGGCCCTCCTTACCATCTTGTCTTAAATTGTATTGTGACTGTAATGTCTTCCTTATATTGTAAAGCGCTGTGCAAACTATTGGCGCTATATAAATCCTGTATAATAATAATAATCTCTCCAAAGTGCCCCCTTATATACCAAATGATGAGAACTACTACTATTTGGTTATTGCTTGTGTGTAGTCACATGGGCTGAAAATCTCGGCTTATACTCTAGTATATACGGTATATTAATATTGTGAGGATTTGCTTCAAATGGTAGCGCATTCAATACACTTCCACTCTTAAACAATTTGTAAGGGCTTCTTTGCCCACTTTTATTTACTCACAAAATGGAAAGGAACATCCACACAGGTGTTCCCTCGCAGGGGTTCCCTCGCAGGGGTTTGCTAACAAGCCAGATAGCTTTTATTTACTCACAAAATGGAAAGGAACATCCACACAGGTGTTCCCTCGCAGGGGTTTCCAAACACACAGTACAGGTTTCTTAATCAAAAACACATTTTCCCGTTTCGCCGACTTCAGGTAGGTCCTTAAAAAAAAAAACGTCTGGCCACACAGGCTGTAGTCAAAATGCTAGCCAAACAGGCTTGTCCTTTTGCCACACAGGCTGCTCGTTTGCCACACAGGCGGTCTGCTCCCCAGTCCACCAGCCACACAGTCTGGTTCTAGGGTGGGGCTCTTCTCTTAGGAGGCTGGGAGTTCCTGTAGAGGCCCTAACAAGCCAGATAGCTTCAGCTGGGCTTGTTACCTCCAAGCCTCCAGCCCTCTCAGCTCTTCCCCCTAGAGGACAACCTTTAGTATAATGCCTGAACCTGGCATATACATCTTATACATCTCTGCCATCCCGGCTTGACCCAGACCTTTTTATCAGCCTGCTGCCACAATATAGAGAAGCTCTCTCTAAAGAGTTCAACCCTATTAACTTGAACCAATACTGTAGTAATAATAGAGGGCACCTATAGGCAGTGACACAACACATCTCTGTTATTCCTTGCTGGAAAGTAGCTCAGCTTTTAGGTGGAAATTGTAAATATAATTAAAACATCCTTCAAAATTCTTCTATTGGTCACATACCTTAATGGTTGTGATATAATGCAACTGTCAAAAATATTTTATTAACTACAACAAGTACACTCCTACTGAACAAGTGTGCAACGAAAAAAAAAACCTATCAACTACATCTCCATTTCTATTTCATTTTATGGCTTTTCTTCAAAGAAGAATTAGTACACCTTTTTGTCTGCCAACTGAACTACTACTTATACATTGCTGACTACACTAAGAGAAAAGTAAATGTATAGCATGCATCACCATACCCAGTAAAACCACAAAAAAAAAGTTATCTTGGCCTCCAGAAACTTCCAAGGCTCTAACCAGCTGAGTATCATGTGTTTTCCAGAAATGTTACTATGAGGCAAGAATATTGCTAGACATAGTAGGAATGCCTCTGATTTACAGTCAATTGTGATTCTAACAAAAGTAGTATTGTTTGCTCTATATGTTGAGATGTTGAAATCACGCAGCAGTTTGATTGCATAAAAAATATTTGCAGTAAATCAGAAGAAAACAAATACATCATTATTGTAGTTTTAAAAGAGTAGGACGAATTGAGGTGGACTATGGCACCAGCTTTCTTTTGCTGCACCAGCTTCTGGTAAAGTTAGGTATCGCAGCATAAACACAAATGTACCCAAGTATTTTATTTATTATTGTCATTTATATAGCACGGACAATTTACACAGTGCACATTAGTCCCTGCCCTCAAGGAGCTCACAATATAAGGTCCCTATCTCACATGCATACATACGAGGGACAATTTAGACAGGAGCCAGCTAACCTTCCAGCATGTCTTTGGGGTGTGGGAGGAAACTAGAGTACCCAGAGGAAACCCACACAAGCACATTGAGAACATGCAAACCCCTTGTAGATAGTGATCTGGCTGGAATTCAAACCAGGGACCCTGACTGCTACAAGGCAGAAGTGCTAACCACTACACCACTGTGCATAGTCAGATGAGCAAAGTATACAGCTATGGGATGGGGACCTGCTATTGAAAATGAATGACGTTTAAAGTGCAGGGTTTCTGGTGGGATTTACCCATGTATTGCCTATTATTATTTTAAATAACACAGAAATTGAGATTGGAAACAAGGAAAAAATGCAATTCAGCCTGCGCTCTACTGCTGATCAGGAAGGCAAATGTAGTTTATATGACTTGTCTTGAGCATTAGTACAGATAGATTATGTTTGGCAAAATATGTGTCATTAAAGTAAACCTGTCACTACAGGATCATAACTAAAGTAAGAATAGCCTGTGAAAGAAGACGCTCTATACTTGCCTTTCCAGCAGCCCGGGTGTTGAAACTCGTTGTTCACTAGGCACTTCAGGTATCTGACACTTCAGGGTGCATCAAAAACCTGCTCCCGCCCACCACTCAGCCTGGTTCCCCCCACAGGCTTGATTGTCACTATAGGACATATGAGCCAGCAATAAAAAACAAATTGTCCAATGGGGAAGCATGTATTTGATACACTGGGCAGTGTTGGATACCTTCCACAGCCACAAAATGCGCTGAAGTTCAAACCCAGGGATCATCAAAAAAGGGCAGTACTTGTGTAGTCCTCATCCCATTAGGAGTCGCTGGATAAACTGGTCCTTCCAAGCCTGTCTAGGGTTCATAGTTCCATTGTTGCCCCAACAGCACTTACCGACCCTCCAGTGTAGACCGACAAAACTGACTTCCACACCAATGTTCTGATGCTTGTTGAACTTTTATTAAAGGAGAACTATGGGGTTAAGGCTTTTCCCCATAGTTCTCCTAAGGGTAACGGGAGGACACAAACTAGCGTCTTCCCGTCACGCTAGGCTCAGTATAGCGTGAGCTGTAGCGTGAGCTGTAGCTCGAGCTATACTGAGGCGCCGCAGTATACCGCAAGCTGCTGCTCGCGGTATACTAAGACGCCGCAGCTGAAGCGGATCCCTACAATTATGTATGGATCCTCCCAGCTGCGTGACTGACAGCTGGCTCTGCCTAACTAGAGGCAGAGCCAGCTGTACCCGCCCCCTCCCCCGTCTGTTCCGCCAGTCAGCGATGGCGGAGCGGGGAGGGGGGAATCCAGACCCTCCCCTGTCACGTCAGAGAGCCGTGACAGGATCGAGAGGGGAGCGAACGCCGTTATGTGTTCGCTCACCTCCTGAGCCGACCTGTGACAGTCTCATTGTCACAGGTCGGCTAGAACTATGAGGTGAGTGAAAAGCACTCACCTCATAGTTCTCCTTTAAATAATTTTGGGAGAGAGAGTTAGGGCATAGGACACCCAGTATGTTGCAGACTCCAAAAATAAAGAACAAAGTACTTGCAGCCTTCACAAATAGAGGACCTTTAAGCCAACTTTGCAATCTGTGACTTTAGCTCCAGGCTGTAAAATACTTGGTGTTATAGCTGCTAGTCCATTTCAGAATTTGCTGTACTTCTGTACAAATTAACCAGTTTAAACTCACAAAAATAATAATCAGAAGACTACTATGTCTGTATTTCAGAATTGAATGGTATACAAGAGCTTAAATTGACACTAAACTCAGGAGTTAAATTTTAAAACTGTATTCAATTACCTTAACTATTAACAAAAATGCATCTTATTTGTGCATCACTCAGCTGTAGATTCCCAAATCATCTCTGAATTGGTGCTGACACTGTCCTTCCTTCTGCAAGGCGGCTACTTTTGTTGCCCATGGTCCTTGTGTGTGTTGTAAAGTAGCCACCACTCCAAGCTCACTGGATCCTGTCTGCGTCCGAGCACGGACACATGGACCTGCACGGATGTGCAGTTCGGGTGTGTGTATGACAGCATATGGCTGCGTCCTCCCATAGGGAAGAACAGGCTGCTACACGCAGCACCTGTCCTTCACTGGAACATCCCGATACGGGCGTGCTCGCCGCACGGACATGTACGCTCCGAGTTAGCACAGTGTGAGTGAGGACTTAAACTAAACATGAGATTGTAGTCCATCATGGGAGTGAGCTTGGGGCGATGACAACTTTACAACATACACAGGAAATATCGGAAATAAAAGTAGCCACCTTTCAGAAGGAAGGTCAGTGTCAGCATGAATTTAGAGATGATTTGATGATCTACAGCCAAGTGATACACAAGTAAGATACATTTCTGTTAATAGTTAAGATACTGGAGTTAAGGTTTAACTCCTGAGTTTACTGTGACTTTAGACAGTATCCAGTAAAAGAGGTCATTGTCTTTCCTTATGGTTCATTGTATCCTATGCTGTGTAATCATTAATTACAAGGCCAAACATAGGTTGGGTTATCTTGTGAAACTGGTGAGCCGCCTACAAAAATCTATTATTTAGAGGTTGGACTGTTTCTTACATGAAATTATAATGTACTTAAGGTGTTACACTTTCAAATGACTCATTCTGTGTCTTAAAGTGATATATTATTGTGTGAGCATCATTAAACCCTTTGATCACAAGGCCCTTCATTCAGATATGACATATGACAGCAGTTATGTAAGGTGGTGATGTGTGTAAAGCAATCTATCAATCGCCTTAATCTTTCTGTTTGTGACGACTCCTGCCTTGCCCTGCCATTTGCTTTCATTATGACTTCATTTGATTTCATTATCTAGAACTGTCTGGGTGTGCTCATCAGCTGTGAGATATAGAGCAACATACAGTAAAGTTCAATGGTTTGACCAGGGCTTTTTCCTATACCTGAGCCTTCACAGCTACATATGCATTCAAGTAGGCATCATAGTGGCTTAGTGGTTGGCATGTCTGCCTTTCAGCACTGGGGGTCCCCGATTTGAATCTTGGTATAGATACTATCTGTATAGAGTGTGCATGTTCTCCCTGTGCTTGTGTGGGTTTCTTCCAGGTACTCCTGTTTCCTTGCACACTCCAAAGACATGCTGGTAGTTAATTAACTCCTATGTAAATCGGCCCTAGTATGTGCCCTAGTATCTCCTTGAGGGCAGGGAGTGTGCAGTATGTAAAGTACAGCATAAAATTGTCAGCGCTATACAAAATTCTAGTAATAAATGAGCCACTACATCCATCAATTAAAATGTCCAGTGTCAAATTATTGAGACCCATGAAATCAACATACCCATACATTCAATACATTGATTATATCACTCTTTCTTGCCAACATTCTGAAATATAGCCCACCATCGGCTTTGCATTGCAGTAAGAAAGCTGTAGGTGGGGACCTGACATCACTAGGTCTCCCTGAAATCAACACCCATTACTACTACTAACAGACATGCATGGCAGAGGCAATGAGTGTATGGGGTTGATTTACTAACCTTTTAAACACACCACGAACGTGTATACACCTCTGTAGTGTGTTCCCTCCCAGCATGATCTATGGGAGGAATCGAAACACCTTTGTAGTGTGTACACACCCAGCAGGTGTGTTGTGCAAAGCCCTGCAATGAATGCAAGGTAATGTGGTGTAAATTAGCTCTATGTTATGTTGCTTGCGTTGATGAATGCAGGAATGTAAATGCATGAGCTAACCATTTTTGTCTAAACTGTGAAGCAGCATTATATATGCATCATGTGCATGATTTTTCCATATATGGCATTAGTGGAAATATGCTTTTAGAGACTTTTTGGTTGATAAATACGTTTTGCTGTGTGAAAATCACACACACCTGGTGTGTGCGTGTGTTTAGGTTAGTAAATCAACCCCTATATGTCAGCTTGTAATACACTATTTCTTCTTAATTGTGCTGTCAGTCAAGGATTTTGTTTGCAGCAAGAGGGTGGGGTGGCACCATGATTTCGCTAAACGTAGTCATTAGATTCACATGCTGGCTGTGGGAAAACGGGTGCGAGGCCATAATCTAAGTATGCACATTAGATGTATACAGGTAACCATGGTACAGTGTATTGATATAGAATGGAACCTCATTAAAATGAAATGTTTGATTTCTCCAATATTAGAAAACATTAGGACACATTCATTTTCCTGCATACATTTTACTGCATGAAAATGCTTTTTAAGTAGAAGCCCCATTGTCTCCTGTATGGCTGGTTCATATCTATGTGCTGCAATTTGGTGTGTTTTGTCTTTTTTTATATTCTTTAAGACGAGTTCAAGAAGAACAGCTCAAAGACAGTGGGGTTGATTTACTAAAGGCAAACAGGCTGTTTATTTTGCAAGGGAAGTTGTACTTTACAAGGGAAGTTTCCCTCACCTTAGTAAATCTGGTAAACCTGGTAGGCCCCACACCTCCACTTCTGGTCATCTCAATCCACGTGTGTGGATTAAGGTGTAAGCGCTATCTGGTACTCTGGTGAAGTGGTAAATCTAATCCAGAGATACCAAACTGATCAGTTGTGTGTTTTCAAAGGGAAAATATATTAATTCATTCACAGCTAGGCATGCGGGTTTCCATGATTGCTCCTGGTGGGTGTAATAAGCAATGTGGGAGTAAGGTGAGCATGTGCAGCATTGACAAAGCACAGGTTCACTTTAAGTCCACAATGACAAGTTGCATCTTCAGTTCCTAAAATAGAAATGCAAATAGAATGCTCAAGCCAAGAAAAAGAATCTTGTGACAAGAAATGAAATAATTATAATGTGTTTGAGTATGGTTAATATAAATATGCTATGCAGTGTTTATTAGAGTCAGTTTACATAATCAGTATATGAGTTATAGGTGGATTACGTCTTTTAAGAGGACCAAGAGTAAGATCTCTTAGTTCTAGTTCCTAGATCTGTTTCTACACACTGTAAAGATTTGTGCGTTTCTCCCACCTTTGAGTGTCCGTGCTCTTTCTTATGCATTTTCCATAGTATATAGTAAATTAAAGCCCAATTGATCTTTCAATCTAAATCAGCTAAATATATTTCAGTGGCCTCATGACAGAAGGTGTTCAGTTGGCTAAATACTTTCCAATGGCAATAAAACAAAAAGGTGTTTAAACTCTTACAGTTTGTTTTCTTTAGAAAGCAGCCACAGCGACAGAGTAGAAAGCCCGTCCTCTGCCAGCATACTGCAGAGAAGGACCCTTGCTCTCTGTGTGGGAGCAGTGGACTCTATGCAGACATCTAAAATGCCCTGTCAGAGCCATAGCTTGGCAATCAGAAAAGCTCATGCTCCTTGATGACTGGAGACCTCTGCTTTCACACAGAGGGCAAGGGTACCTCCCTGCAGCATGCTAGCAGGGGACAGGTTTTTCTACTCTACAACTGTGGCTGCTTTATAAAGAAAACATTATGGGATATCCAGTATCCCAGCATCTCCAGTACTGTATATGTTTTTCCTGTAGATAAGAAACCAGGGAATGCCAGGGGTTAACAAATATTTCTATGCCGTGTAGCTGCCTGCAGTGATGGAGGGATGCTGGGTATTGAACTTTTCTGTATCTCTGAGCCATGGGGACCCTAAAACGACTACTGTTTTGAGGTTGTTGTTACTGTAAAACAGCAGACTTTGTCAGATTTTACTTAGGGGACTGTTATGGGACAGTTACAATGAAATACTACCTTCTTGCTTGTTTTATTTTAGTATTCATCAAAAACTGAAAAAACTGTTTTGACATGGCTGATGTTTTAAAAAAGACTGGGTATGCTATCCTTTTGAGAATATGTCTTCCTCTCTTATCAATTTTGTGTAATTTCTTTCCTTCTCTTTTAACAGGAGATCAGATTTTGAGAAGGTTACAGATCTGGAACAGAATCCTATTCGAGAAAAAATAAAAAATGCATTTTTTGATAAAAGGTAAGTTAACTTCTTTACATTGTACCTAATGACTAGTGTTTTCTTTCTATAGTATCCATATTTCTTTTTCATCAATTTAGGGGCACATGAAGTCTTTTACCTTTGGATTATACTGCCGCCTACAGGTGGAATGACAAACAAACAGCCCAAAAACCTAATGCCTCGTACTAGCATGCCTCAGTCTTTTGCTAGTCCCCAAGGAGGATAGACATGTTTTCTTCAGCTCTATGGTGTAAAATACTACATTTGCTGGCACCACTTTTTTTTTTTTTTACTCCTAAACATTTTTTTCTTCAGTGAAGACTCTTCTCTACACTTCTGCTAGTGCTGGTCTCTCTGATTGCAGCGACCCTGTGGGGCCGTATTCTGGTATCTAGAGTACTGTGTCAAGACTCCATTGGGAAGGACTTTTTTGGGTTCCACATAAGGGGGTTCTCGAGACTCCATAAAAAGTTAGCCATTGAGTGATTTCTAAGTCCAGAGCTGCTGCCATTGCCTCAGCGCTTGTCCTGTCTCTGAAGACTCATTTCGCAAGTGGGCCGGTTGGGATTAGCACTGGGAGCTACCTCAAGTACATAGGTCACTAGGTGCCTTTACATTCCCATTTCCCTCTGGTTTCACATCATCCGCTAGGTGGAGTGTCATGCGTGTGGTGTGCTCCCCACTCTTCTTCCCCCCAAAGAGCTTTGAAAGAGCATCTCCCAGCTCACTTTCTACAGCTGGGTTTTGTGAGTACCTGAGGCGGGGCCTTGTACTCTGAGCCTTATGTTGCTTTACCACCACATGATCGCAGCATGTCTAATTCTAGACACAGGGGGGCAGTGCTACTGTACCGGCTGCCCCCAACTCAAACTTTAGTAAGGATTATGGCTGCTTGCACCATGCCTACTGATGCATCTATTCCGCCTCCTGAGTCTTCCATAGCTTCATTGCCTGTGGCTGGTTCCTCTGCCCTCTCGGCTGAGGTTTTTACTGCAGTCATGCATTTATGGCCAAATCACCCAGTTATTTGCTGACTCTAGCCACAGAGGCTACAAGCACTTTCCTGTGCATTTACCCACAGATTCTGTATCTGATAAACCCATGGCCTTGGCTGCCTCAGAGCCATCAGCCCTTGATACTCTGATTCTGAGTTGCTCCAGTCTTTACCTGACAAGGTTGCCTCCAAGGAGTTGCAGTTCTCTGTCATTACTCCCAAAGTAAATCAGACCACTTCAGCTCATATTTGGTGCACACCACTCTGAAACTAGTGGATTAACTTGTTGCTTCTATCAGTGCTATTGCCAGTCTTGAGTACTTTGGAGTTGTTAAGACTGCAAAGACTTTCCCAGTGAAGTCCCTGTTCAAAGTCTCCCTCAATGGAGATTAGAAACAACCTGACAAGATGTTTGGTCCCCAAGAGCTTATCAGGTTTTTACGCATTTGAAGAGGACTTTGTAAAAAATTATCTACCCCACTGTGGATCCAGCAGTGTTTCACCTTAACAAAGTGACCACCATACAAGTGAAAAATGCATTTGTTTTTGAGGACCCGTCCAATAAATGCATTTCAGTATCAAGCAAATGTTTTCCATTTTTGCAAGGCTGCCCCCTGATCTTCTGTTCACATGTTGTTTGCATTCTACCACGTGGACTTTGCAGCCTCATCTGATGCAAGCTTCGGGAGTAAGGAACTTCAGGCAGCTCTTTAAACTGCAGGTGTTTCCCAGTTTTCTGTTGTTGTCTTGAGCCTGTTAGTGTTTGTTTGCTGTATTTGCCCACCCCTCAGTTGGATTGCTTTTGGACATCCTGAAGGTGAAACATGTCATGTGTCTCTCATTGGTTGAGAAACAAAATAAGATTTTTGTACTTACTGTAAAATCCTTTTTTTATTGTCCATTGGGGACACAGGTCCCACCCCCTCTGTATTTATGATCATGCTCTGATCGCTCTGATCATAAATTGCTCTGCTATAAAAATGAGTTACGCTGGTAGTAGCATGGGTTATCCTGGGATGGCCTCCATTTTTTTCTGTTTGTCAGTTACCAATCCTTCTGTAAGTGACAGTATAACCCAAAGGACTTCCTGTGTTCCTTCAAAGGACTCCAGGAAAATAATTTTATGATGAGTACAAAAATTGTAGTTTTATTTCCACTTCTCTGTCTGAGATGCTGAATACTTCACAAGGAGGTAATTAGCACTGGCTTGCTTATCAAGACTTTACACGTTGGCAGACTCTAGTACAGACTGCAGTCTTACCCACATCTGCACAAATTGACTTTGAGGTGTTATATTATTAACCCTTTCATCACCAGAGTTCATTGAAGAAAGATGAGCATGCCAAATTTAGCAGTATCAGTACTCCTTGGGTAACGTGACAATAACTCTTTAATGTTTACCTTTTTTTAAAAGAACATATAAAGCTTTTCTTTGGTACCCTGCTCACTTTAATTTTTATAGAGGCTGGCAAATGGACACAAATGTAACAAAACTAAATATTTTTTAGATTTTCTTTTTGAATGTATTATTATGTTTTAATACTGTGCTTGTATGTGAAAGTTAGCGTTGCAAACAGAGGCACACTGCCATCTTCAGGCTACTGTTTAAAGAATTAAAGGCCCAGATTCTCTATCCAGCACCCATGGTAGTTCAACAGTATCATGGTGTACTATATATATATCAGACAGTAAGTCATGGTGTATATACCATCAGACAATAAGTCATGGTGTATATAAGATCAGACAGTAAGTCATGATGTATATAAGATCAGACAGTAAGTCATGGTTGTATAAGATCAGACAGTAAGTCATGGTGTATATAAGATCAGACAGTAAGTCATGGTGTATATAAGATAAGACAGTAAGTCATGGTATACATAAGATCAGACAGTAAGTCATGGTGTATATAAGATCAGACAGTAAGTCATGGTGTATATATCATCATAGTCTATCTAATATTAGTCATACATAGAAAATGCTCTTACAACATTTATGTAAATGTGAGGAAAACCATATAATTTATCTGTTTTTCTTTTTGTTTTAACTAATGATAGAATGGAGACTTTGGTTTGTATTTCTCTTCCTTTTGCATGTGAACTATGATTTCTGTAAAAGGACTAATGATTGCACTTTATGTAGCATTGGCTGGGTTTCCGGAGGCCACAGACTAAAGAGATTATATATGGCTGTATTCTGCATTATGGCTTTGGTACATATTGTATTGAGTTCTGATACACAGGTATTTTATGTATTTCTCTAAATTGTGTTCTCTTTCAGGAATCTACGGACAGGAACGCGCGGATTTGAGAGGGAGATTGACTTTGAAAAGTTTCTTATTATTATGTCCTATTTCCGACCTCTGGCTGAGAATGCTGATGAAGAGGCCATTAAATTATGTCGGGAGGACAAATTACGATGTAGGTATTGCATTCAGTGATAATCATAAGAGCTGCACATGTCTATTGAGAGCCAATTGTAGTTGGCTGAATTCCAAAGCAGAGCTATACTAGGTAACTACAAATATGTGCACATGGTCAGCACTGCTGGTTTGCAGACTTGTTGGGTTTGTATTGAACCAAGCCATGATCCATATTTATGCTCCTTCCTCAAAGCAATGAAATAGAGGCAAGTTGGTTGCCTCTTTCTAATGGGTTCTAAATTGCACTTGTAACTAATATGAAAAGTGAATTGTTTTCCTGGAAAGTACTGAGAAATGTGCCAAATGATGTAAATGAATGGTAATGAAGAGAGTATTAATCAGGGATTGACAAACGTTTTGTCATCCTTGTTGTGTTTTTTTCTCTGTTTTGTACCTTTGTTTTTTTTAAAAACAGAACTAGTCTCGACTGGGTGTATACAAGAATTCTAACATTCCGTCTTAAAGCAGAAGTGAAGTCCACTCTGGCGGGTGGGTTCTTGCCATAATGTGCATGTACAGCATACCTGTACATTATGGCAAACTTACCTGACAAGTTTGCTCCAGCACTGACTGACCTACTCAGTCAGCTGTTTCCTGTCCAGCCCCGCCACTATATCTTCTGCTGCTTCTTCTGGGTCTACCATCGTTCTGTCTGACCATTGGGTTGCCTGTGATGACATAACATAGCATGAGCACAGCAATTACATTGTTTTCGGCACCTATCTCCATCACTGCCATAGTGTAGATACTAGGAAGGATCTGGAATAGTACACTGCACTACTCATGTGCCATACAGTGTACACAAGAGAGAAAAACTGCTAGAAGTTAGAAGCAGCTGTTTTGGGGTCTATTATGCCAAAAAATATTTTTTTATTTTTTTAGGTTTACTTCTGCTTTAAAGTATTGGAATTGTGCAGACTTACCTTTTAAAGATCTATTTGGATTTAATTGCTATGTCTGAACCTAATACCCTGCAGTTAATCACATGTGATTAGTGATCAATCGCTACACATAGATGACAACGGAGTGCAGCTTTAGTAGCCATTGATCAAAGCAGCACGTGTAGCAATCATTAATGATTAATCTGGACAATGTATTAATCATCCGTGTGTGCAGAGCCTAACGGTACATAACAGTTTCAAATCACAGAGCCCTGTGGTTACTACTTTACTTCATATGGCCCGCAAGCATTTCCTGAACTATCCCGGGACGTGATGGCTTCTCCTGAGACACACGGAAGTCCCAAAGAATCTCCTCCACCATACAGAAGGCCACAGGAACCATGGCAATATCTGTAATTTGGGCCAGCAGACTCGGTGATATTTCCAACCATAGGCTTCAGAACTATAACTTGAACCACACACCTCTAAGGAGGAACTCTGTGCAGAGCCAAGAAGGTTATGAAACAGGCAGAGCATGATGTAGCACCTCAGGAGAAGCAGATATGTCTTGAGACAGAAGCTGACCAAACAGGAACAAGAGACTGGGAAAAATAGGCACACTGAGATATAGGTAGAACTGAAGACAAAATATTCTTGTAAAGGAACTGAGACAAAGAGATACGATTTTAATATTCGCACATAGTTCGGCAAGCACAAGTTAGGCAGAGAGTCATAGTTCTGGTCTTAACTTAAAGAGCTAAAAATCACTAAAGTGCCAATCTAGCGTGTTTTAGGCTTAATCTTGATCACACTCTGACACATGAGGCTTTCTTTAGCATTGAGAACATTTACAAGAAGCAAAGAAAAAGGAAAAGAAACTAATGAAAGCAACAGGAAAACAGATACCTAAAAGATAAAAAAATAAAATGAACAGAAACCTGCCCTAGAGCTTAATCAATGATTCCTCCATAGGAATCCTTTCAGGGAGAGATATACCAGGAATGAGAATGAGATGAAAACAAAACATGTAAATGAATGAGTGTCTTTGTGCATATAAGCCACCCATGACCTCCCATATCCTATTTTCATATCTATGTTTACAACACTGCATTGTTGCCATTGTGATGAAGTGGAAATGACTCCAGTTACATTCATGATAAGGATCTAGAGGTGAGAGTATAGTTTGTGGGAGATTAGATAGGAGACTTGGAGTAGCCAAAACACGAGTCTATTATGGAGATGGTGCAGAAGTGCAAGTAGAAGAGGTTCAGTATGTGAGGGGTGAAGAAGAAGGCAGCCTTAGGCAGTGAACCTAACATAAAACGACATTACAGCTAAAGAGATGTGAGGGAATGGTCGAGAAGATGGAAGGAGGAAGACAATTAGCTTATTTGAATCCAGGTGAAAGTGACACAAAGCTCAGGAAATAAATCCTAAAAATGTATTCAAGTACCTTAACTATTAACAGAAATGTATCTTATTTGTGTATCACTCGGCTGTAGATCCTCAAATCATCTCTGAATTGGTGCTGGCACTGTCCTTCCTCCTGGAGGGTGTGTACTTCTGTTCCCCATGGTCCCTGTGTGTTTTGTAAAGTGTCCACCACTCCAGGTTCGCTCACGTGATGGATTTTAACCTCAATACAGATGATTAAACTTAACAGCCGAGTGATACACAAATAAGATAAGTTTAATCAATTGTATTGAAGTTAAAATCTATCACAGGAGTGGGCTTGGAGTGGTGGCCACCCTCCAGAAGGAAGGACAGTGTCAGCATGAATTCAGAGATGATTTGAGGAATCACAGCGTGATACACAAATAAAATAAATTTATGTTAATGGAAAAGGTGCATTTTGAACATTTAACTCCTGAGTGAAGTTACACCTTAAGTTTAGCTACCTCCTTGGCTTTGACAAAAGTCTGTGAGACTCCTTATATGATAGCTGCGTATGAGAAGGCTGAGAGTAAAGAAGGAGAGAGCCCCTAATGTACAGCCGCAATGTGTTTTTTTTTCTAGTGCATGTCATGGTATTACATCATCACATGCAGCATGGGTAGCCAAACACTGGCCCAGCAGCTGTGATGAAACTACAATCATTTGTCTCAGGGAGTCATGGCTGTCAGGGTCTTGCAATGCCTTATGGCACTTGAAGTTCCACAACAGCTGGAGGGCCAAGGTTTGGCTATCCCTGACATACAGCGACCTACATTAGCCTGTTCTGTAGGTTCAGATATTTATTGAATATCTTCAATGTAAAACACCTTTGAAGCTAGAGCAACACACATACTGTAGATGGTAAATGTATTTTTTTAAAATGTAATACTTACATTGTAATTTTTTTAGCTTTTATTTTTCTCTCACTGATTAACTAACAATACATGATAAAATGATGACACACATGAGTAATTGTTATCCTTATTCCTCGTAGTTCTTTTCAACATGTATGATACTGATAATGACAGCATGATCACCCTGGATGAATACAGAAATGTACGTATGGGTTTTTAATTTTTAGGTCAAGAAATATTCCGCTAGGCAATACTTGAACTTACATAACATAACCCAAATGTGATTCCAGAACGCAATAAAGTTGAACTCCATGATAAACAAATATTGCCTAAATACAAGAGGCTTGTGTATTTGTATCTTGGTGAGCTTTGTGTATTCCTTCCACATCGGTGCAGTAATCCAGTGTAAACGTTGCCTCTATGCAGGAGTTTCCTGTAATAAAGACCAGTCACTGCTGATCTCTCTCCCTGTGCAGGGTGACTGGTCTTGTCCCCGCCGCCCTCTTCTGCAGGCAGCCTGTAGTGGGCACACCTGCTGGGTTCCTCCCACAATTCTGCTCTCTGCCCAGGCTATGCACAGCATAGCGATGATGTCACTGCTACGGTACATTTAAAACATAATAATTGGGTTTGGAGCTCACAAAGTGTCGTTATATCCATTGTGACTATAGAGGAGTGTATTTAAATGAAAGTCTTTGTGACCTGTGTTCAGCTTTATGATCCTTTTGATAAAAATAAAAAACACTTATTGATTATGGGTAATCAAGATTCAGATAGTAGAAGGTAGTCACATCTAACTGGACTTTTTGAAATGAAGACTGGATGTTTAGAAACGTTAAAGATGGTGTTTCACCAAACCTGTAGATTTCTCGGTCCAGGTGAGTTCTGGGAACATACCCAAGCATATGTACCCACAGCCCAGTCAGCCTAATCCAGCCATGTGGTGTCATAAAATGTGTCACGCCAGATGTTAATGGTCCAAGGATTGACTGGAAGTCTGAAAGTTATGAAAATGCCATGTCCTACTTAACGTAATATAGACAACATGCTGTCATGAACGTTAATGCCTGGAAGTATGAATTGGCCAATCATGGAAAAACAGCGTCATATGTAGTGATGGAGCCCCCAGCCCTGTTTAGAGATGATTGTTCCAGGTCAACATACAGTAGATGCCCACTTTTACACACCAGTTATCGCTGAGTCAGAAAGGAGAGTAAAACAAGCCCTGTTCCAATATCTCATGCATCAGTCATGAATATGCAGTGGTGTGACTGTGACAGAGACACAGCATGGTTCCTTCCGACTCCTATGGAACAAGCATAGATCAGATATTTTTGGGGTGTCTGGTTTAGGATTCAAATAAAAGTAATAGTAATTCTAGCTTCAGAAACCGAGCCGAAATTGCAAATAGATATTTCAAGACATAAACAGCCCGGTCATTAGAAATTACAGCTTCATTTTTTTATACTGTACACAGTATTTGTTTGTTAAGTTGACCTTTCTTTTTGTTCAGGTGGTAGAAGAATTACTGTCAGGAAATCCTCATATTGAGAAGGAGACAGCAAGATCTATAGCAGATGGTGCAATGCTGGAAGCAGCCAGTATATCCGTTGGGCAAATGGTAAAATATCACAGGATGGTGGTCATCTTTTCCTATGGAAGAACATGTTATGTTTCTTTGAAGATGTATGAAGGTTCCAGTTGTACTGATTGCACTGACAGCTCTGATGATACTGGCCATAGCATAAAGTATTCTCTGATCATTGACAGGTAGCAGTGATTTTCACCTAATATACAGGCGGTCTGGCACACTGTATACTTGCTGTGACATATCTCCTCCCCGTCATGCCCAACTGACAAACCAAAGTTGCAAAGATCCTCCTTTGTTCTGAACATCTGTTTTGAGACGGACTCTATAGGCCAGGGATGTCCAAACTGCGGCCCTCCAGCTGTGGTGAAACTACAAATCCCATGAAGCATCTCTCTCCGGGAGTCATGTCTGTGAGAATCTTGCAAAGCCTCATGGGATTCATAGTTCCTCCACAGCTGGAGGGCCGCAGTTTGGACATCCCTGCTATAGGCACACACTTCATAGCCTTTCAATGAAAGCACACAACAGCTCTGGCCACAAAATGGTTAATCTGCACAGCAGAGAGATACATTTTAGAAAATGTGCTTGTTTGGATCTGGCTGAGGGGAATCTGAGGTTATTTTGGAAAGGATAAGAGTATGTAGAGTTTCCATCATATCCCGCATTCAACCTCCAGTCTTTCACACAAATTAGCAATGACAGCTATTGCCAATTATACATTTGAAATGATGTGCAGATGGAGCGCAATGTGTCAGCCCTCTGTGTCAGCTTCTACACCATCCCGTGCCTGGAGAGCAGCCCTGATTAACTCATTTCTTTCACTGCGTTTTTGATGGGAAACTTTCTCATACACCTAAATGAACCAGAGTAGCATGAATGTTCAATTAATTCCAGTCTGTATTGGGAAAACGTTCCACCGACAATTTTTCCTTTACATCAATTTAGTAGAAACGAATACGTTAGACGCTGGATGCAGCATTTGCATGTTTGCTGCTGTGTCGCATCCAGAAGGTCACATCATGGAGCGGGTATGTGGAGATGTCAGGTCTTCATTCTGCACGTTCTCGCTGTGGGCCCATTCTGACAGGCAGACATGTATGAAATGTCATGATTCTTGACATCTGTCAGTCTTGCTATGATAGCACTTGTGTATCCAAGAGGATAGATTCTCACTTGATACATGTCCTAAGCTCCAGCCAAACAAAGCCACACACTTTTCTAATTAGCTCCTTCGATTTATCATGATGTCATGGCTGATGCAAAAGTCTGCAATGCTATGATATACATGTAAGATATACATGTCATAGGTGTGATCAGCCTATTGCATTAGAATGTAGATTGCATTGCATATGCAGTCTTACGCACTCCCTCCCCATCCATTCCTGTAATGCAGTGTCCCCCCTCCCCATACATTCTTGTCACACAGCGTCCCCCGCTCCCCATAGATTCCTGTCGTACAGTGTACCCTTCTCCCCATGCATTCCTGCCACACAGTGTACTCCCCCTCTCCATACATCCCAGTCACACAGTGCCCCCCCCCCCT